AAGTATTTAACTAAAATATCATATTTAAAAAAAACACATAAATCGTAAATGGTCTTTTTTTATTAAAATTAGGGAATGTTTATGAAATCGCATTAAAAAATCAGAAAAAAAAGATAATATTATAAGATACAATAACGTACCAAATTGTAAATATAATTTTCCATATGAAGTGGATTTCGAGGTGTAAAGAGAAATAAAACTGGTCCTTCGCGGAGGTAGGGCGCGAGAGTGAGCGCTTTAATTCCAGGAGGCTGCAGCCAGAGAGATGGTTGATGAATAGAATTGCTGATCCAATTTAGGATGTTCTCGGAAGTCCACTCATTGCCTTCTGGATAACTCTAAGTGTTTTTAAACCTGGTGTATAATGTATGATAGAGAGTAAAGAGATTTGCGTGCTAAGCACTTACTAAAGATTCATTCCACATGAGCAAGCTTGCTGATGGAAACTTGTGAACTTCGTAATGCAATTTGCTGCATAATGCACTAGTCACTATAGCAAATACTAATTCTCTATTAGGATCTCTTTCTAACGATCGTATCGCAGCCTTATAAAATTCTCTATATCCAGGAGTTCTATCCAATCGTGTAAAATTAAAATATCCAATAACCACTGCCTGCAAGTTATCAGAGTGTCATATTAATTTATTATTAATTTATTATTAAGATTATATATATAATATTAAAATATAAAAAAAAGATTATGAATAAGCGATCCGCCCAAGGAAAATCCATCCACTAGGTTCATTGTACCTTAATTACTAATAAGGGAATTGGAAAGAATACGGACGTTAGGAGTTAGGCGCAGAAGACGTCGCGCAATAATACATTTATGAAGCTTGAAACTTCTTTATTCAACAAACACGCTTACATGTTTCGGCTCATTTATGAGCCTTCCTCAGAGCGAACACAAACTAACATATATAAACTAAAAGTTATTCCGTCATGGTGAGCTCCCCTACATCGAGAATTTAAATACCAGAATTAAACAAAAAGAAAGAAAAGGAAAATGAAAAAGAAGGGAAATATTAATGTCGAATTAAAAAATTAGAAACTAATTTATCAAAAAAGTTTAAGAATATAATTAATTATCCCGAAAAAAAGGACGCTCACCACGATTACAAAGCACCGTATCGCAAACATTACCATGAATAAATCAAGAACCGGTTCCTGATATGTTAGCCAGTCAGTATCAGACACTGTGAGTCACTTTTTAGTTATTAGCTAGTATTAATGAAAATTGTAAAGTGATAACAAATCTCATCAGAAGGACTTATTACTGTGTACGAACGACACCGACTCAGTCTACGTACATAGTAATAAGTCCTTCTAATGAGATTTTTTATCACTCCAAGTAAGTCTTGACCACTTTCGCAATATGGGGTCGAGCATTGTCATGCTGCAAAATCACTTTTATCGTGTCTCTCGTTGTACTGCGGCCGTTTGTCTTTCCATGCTCGGCTCAAACGCATCAATTGCGTTCGATACCGATCGCCTGTGATTGTTTCACTTGGTTTTAACAGCTCATAATACACACACACACACACACATACACACACACTACGAGCTGGTCCCACCAAATACAGAGCATGACCTTGAAGCCGTGAATATTCGGTTTGGCCGTCGACGTGGAAGCATGGCCGGGAATTCCCCATGATTTTATGCGCTTGGGGTTATCGTAATGAACCCATTTTTCGTCCCCAGTCACAATGCGATGCAGAAATCCCTTCCGT